TAACATCGTGCCCAGGACGTGCTTTATTTTTTTGTTCTGTAACCCAGGCTGGAGTACAGTGGCAAGATCATAACTCATTATAGCCTCAAACTCCTGGGTTCAAGTGAGTCTCCTGCCTCATCCTCCCCAGTAGCTGGTACTACAGGTGTGCACCACCATGTCCAACTAACTTTTTTTTTTTGAGTTGGAGTCTCATTCCGTAGCCCAGACTGGAATGCAGTGGCACGCTCCCAGACACCGCAGCCTCAACCTGCTGGGCTCCAGTGATCCTTCCTCAACCTTCCAAGTAGCCAGAATTACCGGTGCATGCTACCACGCCTGGCTAGTTTTTGATTTATTGTAGAGACAAGGTCTCACCAAGTTGCCTGAGCTGGTGACGAATCCATGGGCTCAGGCAATCCACTCACTTCGGCCTCCCAAAGTGGTGGGATTACAGATTGAGCCACTGAACCCGGCCTTTTTTTTTTGCCCAGGTTGGTCTCAAACTGCTCACAATCCTCCTGCCTTGGCCTCCCAAAGCACTGGGATTACTAGCATGAGCCACCATGCCTGGCCCAGGATTTGCTTGAAAAACAATCCAGTAGAGGAAGAAAGAGTTGACAGGAATATTAATTAAATAAGACTGGCCATATATTGATATTTGCATAAGCTGGATGCCAGGAATTCATTTTACTATCCTCTTTACTTTTATGTACTATTTGAAATATTCTGTGATAAAATATTTCCAGCCAGGCACAGTGGCTCACACCTGTAATCCTAGCACTTTGGGAGGCCAAGGTGGGAGGACTGCTTGAGCCCCAGAGTTCGAGACCAGCCTAGGCAACATAGCAAGACCCAGTCTCTACATCAAATCAAAAATTAGCTGGGCATGGTAGTGTGTGCCTGTAATCCCAGCTACTCAGGAGGCTGAAGCAGAAAGATCGCCTGAGCCCAAGAAGTAGAGGCTGTGGTGAGTCACGATTGATCGTGCCACTGCACTCCAGCTTAGGCTACAGAATGAGACTCCAACTCAAACAACAATAAAAATTAACAAAAGGCACAAACTCGACTAACTTTCTAACCCTCCAACTCCCCCACATACCTATACCTTTTCCTTTGGGATCACGAACCATAATAAACTGTTGGTATTTACATAGTGTTCCAAATTTATATCCTTGCCCTCTCTAGGCATCTCATCTAATAATAAAAATTCAACTAACAAATTCTGTGCTATAATCCAACAGATCCTCATCTTCAGGCCTGACCTATGACTCCAAATGCCCTCTGGACATAATCTCCTATTATCTCCCACACACACCTTTGTACCAGAGCTGCTCAGAAATTCTCACTATCTTCTTAATGCACCCTACGTTCTCAAGCTTCCCAATTTGTGCACATCCTTTCCTGCTCCTTCTCTTCTACCTTCACCCCTTAAGTCTCAGCTCAGATGTCTGTCTGGCCTTTTCCAGGTAGTGTTCCCTCAGTCCTCTATTCTTTTATTCTATTGTAGAATTTGCCATATTGTTTTGAAATTACATTTAGGTATCTGCTCTGCTCGACTTGAGTTCCTACATGGAGGAATCATCTCTCCTACCTGCTTGTACTCCCAGCATATACAGTACAGTGCCTATTACAAAGTTAGCCCTAAATAATGCATGCTAAATGAACGTCGGTAGTAGTTTTCTAATAAATAAAAGACAAAGTTAGAGCTGAAAATGCTGCCTAAATCTGCTTTTGTAAAGAGTAATCAGATTATCTGTTCCGGTATGGGGCAGAATAAAAAATAATAAGTTGTTTTTCAAAAACTAAAGATTCACAGATTATGAAAACACAAAAGAAAATATGAAACAAAAGAATACAGTAAAAAAGACCAACCTGGCTGGGCTCAGTGGCTCAGCCTGCAACCCCAGCATTTTGGGAGGCCAAGGCAAGTGGATTGCCTGAGCCCAAGAGCTCGAGACCAGCCTGGGCAACTTGGCAAGATCTCGTCTCTACTATAAATCAAAAATTAGCCAGGTGTGGTAGTGCACGCCTGTAGTTCTGGTTACTTGGAAGGCTGAGGCAGAAGGCTTGCCAGAGCCCAGCAGGCTGACGCTGGGCTGGCCATTAATGTGCCACTGCACTCCAGCCTGGGCGACAGAGTGAGACTCCAGCTCAAAAAAAAAAAAAAAAAAAAAAAAAAAAATTTAAAAAAGACCACTCCAAGGACAATTCTGATGAGGATACAGATTGAGATGAGACTCAGGTGAATCTATTCAATTCACAGCAATCTCAATGATCCTAACCCAACTGAGATTACCTCAATATCAATTCTCCATACAAGCCAACTCTTTTTATTTATTTATTTATATTTTATTTATTCATTTGAGTCAAGGTGTCACTGTGCCACCTGGGCTGGAGTGCAATAATACAATCATGGCTCACCACAGCCTTGAACTCCTGGGCTCAAGTGATAGTCCTGGCTCAGCCTCCCAAGAAGCTGGGACTACAGGTGCACGCCATCACCCTTGGCTAATACAGGCCAACTCTAAAGAAAGACCAATCTTTTTAGTTCAGGAATTTCAGGACCACCCCAAAACAGACTTACAACACAAAGCCAGACCAGAGACCAAGTGATTCTGGAAACAAGGAATAAAGTGACTTGCTGTTTCCTGCCCTACTTAAAAGGCTATACAATTAATTTAGATAGTCTTCCTGGAAGATGTAACTCGAAGTTATCACCACACATAAATCATTAACAGGTACCCTCAAGTCCTTCAGAATCCTAACGTACTGAAACAATTTCCAAGTGCACAGAATTCACTGCCAATATTCAATGTGTTTCCTACTTTCCCTTTAAGTGAATTCCTATCCTCTTCCCATCTTTACTGGACCTCCTATAATTTGAGATTGAGTCTCATTTTATTTTCACAAGACAGTACAATATTGCTCAGCTGTTTTTCCTCAAGCAAATGCTTTAATACCAAAGAACTAGAAAAGAAGGAAAAAACCTTCAAAATAGCCATTAGTGAGAAATATGATGCCTCCTTCCTCTGGCAAGGATAATGTTTTATAGAACCTAGTCTCAGAAAGGAGAATAAGTATTAAGGTGGAAAAAAGTATATGAAAACCTGTATTTAGCCAGCAAGACAAGGAGATTTGTTCAAGTATTCAAAAACTAAAAGGGCAACAAGGCAGAAAAAGGACATCTTAAAGAAAGAAAAAACAGGAAAAGGGAAGATTCTGTCTGGGCTAGAAGTTCCCAAGAATCCCAGCTTGGGGTCTCTTCAGTGTGGTCCTAGATTCAGACCCCCACAAATGTGGGATTTGTAGAGTAACAACTACACAGTGTCACTCAATGAAATTACTCTATCTTCAATAGGTTGGATAGGTTTCATAGAATTTTCTGATGATCACATCTACTGAAACCCAAAATTACTCTTCCTTTGAGGCATGGCTTTCGCAATTCAAGTTTTCAGGATATAAAATTCAGATGCCTCTCTTTCACACCTACCTAAAGATAATCCTGAACAATATATTTAAGACTCATTAAGGAGTAGTCTTTTTTCCTTTAAAAAGTATGTCGAGAAAACAAGTTGAGAGCTGAAGGGTGGTGAAAGCAATACTTTTCCACTTGCAAGCTTGTCTTTTGTAACTCACAGCTTGCACTTTTCTCTTTCCTGTAGTGAAAGTGAAGTTTAGTGGAAAAAGTCAGAAAGTCAAGACTTTGGCATCCTGTTGCCACCACCTATTGCTAGCTATAGAACTTAAGCAAATTACTTAAAAGCCTGGAGCCTCATATTCCAAAACTGTAAATGGAGATATTAAATGGGGATAATGAGTACCTACATTGCAGAGTTATTGAGAGGAAAATGAGTTAAGGGACTCACTAGGCTAGAATATAAACTCCAGAGAAGTGAATGTCTTTATCACTGTTGATACCTGCTGGCATGGAAACGCACACTGCAGTAGCTCAATGATATTTTTTTAGATGAACGAATAAACACCAGTATCCTCTATTCTCTCATCAACATAACCTTTCTTCCATAATCGCTTTTTTTTTTTTCCCCAGCCTTCTCTTTTTTTTTCCTAAGGCCTTCAGGACATTCTATTCTGTCCTTTTAAGTGGTTTCCTCCCTCTCGTTGGCTATTATTAACTATGCACCATTCAGAGAAAGTTCCTTTGGAACTAATTTTTCTCTCATACCACCCACCTTCCATATCTAAAACAATGGGGGTGGAGAGGAGAGTCAGAACATAAGACTCCTAGCAATTCATCTACTTGCGCACGGCCACTGGACTCGTGTTCAAGACAGTGAAACCCTGAACTCGGCCCTCCTCAGAATACAACTTTCAGGAGACTACATTATCCCTTCTCTTTCTTCGCTAAGAAGAGACGCGCATGTAAGAAATCCTCGGCTCTCAAAAGTTACGGCGTCGTTTACGCACACCTCCCGCTAAATAAAGGAGTGCGTCCCTTGAATGAGAAACTCAATCTGGACATGCAGGAGGGAGTTCGGATCCCTCGGTGTTGCCAGACAGTCGGTCACCTTTGAATCTGTCCAGGCTCTTCTGGCCACTGCTCCAAGGAAGCAGAGTTCTTAGATCCTTGGAGGGAAGCTAAGGGGTGCGGCCGTCTATAGAGACTGGTGGAACAGTGTAAAGTCCATGACAACATGGGGAGACAGCATGAATCGCACGACTGGACTCTTTAAGCCATAACTACGACCACCTTTACCCATCAGTGCGGGGCAGGACCCCACCCCACCCCACCGCTTAATACAGTATCCGAAAAAAGAAACGCGGCTCTCCCCCAACCCATAAATCAGACAGTCAGTGCCCGCTTATTGGCTGTCCCTGCATCTTCTTCACCCTCATTGGCTACCGGGGACACAAAACCCACCCGCGCAAGGGAACCCTCTCGTACGGCGGCACCCCCAGCCTAGCAACCTCAACTCGGCTACCCAAAACCCCGGCCCCCCACCTCCACGCAGGGAGCGCGGCCCCCGAAGCGTTCGGAGCTTTGCCCTCTAAGGGCTCACCGTGTAGTAAGAGAGCAGCCCTGCATTGTAGTCCAGCACGAACCAACGGTACTGCCAGCCCTTCATCACATTAGTCCATTTGCTCAGCGGCCCTTCCATGATGGACGCCATCTTGGGAGCCGCCAATGACAACAAACGACCTGACGTCACTCGCCTATATGGAATTCAGCATGCAGGGGGCGGGGTCTCTGCCGTCCTGGGCGGGTCCTGGGCGGAGCCCGCGCTTCGCTGTGTGGACTTGCCGACCACGCCCCCAGAGAGCACAGTCAAACATTCTTTATTTGGGCTCCCTTTGTGTGTAGTACTCCGTGCCAGGGATGCGAGAATGCAAACGTGAATACTGCTCTTAATATTATTTATAACCTGTCATAAGATTAGAGTAAAACAGAAAAAGATTTTTGTTTTGTTTTGTTTTGTTTTGCTTTTTGAGTTGGAGTCTCACTCGGTCGCCCAGACTGGAGTGCAGTGGCTGCTCCCGGCCAC